GCCAAAGGTGTGCAACAAATCTCCAGTACGAGCTCCAAAATGGTTTCCAAGTCGGGCTCTCGTGGCGGGCCTCAGGGGTTCCCAGACGATTCATACCCTGGCAGGGTCCCGGCAGGGTCCAAACAAGTCTGGGTCACGAATGCCTGAACTCCTGGGCGTGGCCCCCCGGCCTCAGGTCAAGAGCGTTCCAAGATGGCCCAAGTTGATCTCAAGACGGGCCCAGACGCCCGAGGAGGGCTCCAAGAGAACCCCAAGAGGGTCCGAAGACCCAAATGGACAGATTTCCCAACAGGTGCTTGAAATACTTTGGCGTTCCCGCCTTTTCAAGCTTCCGACCGCCCAGGACGGCCCAAGAGGCCTCCAAGATCGCCTCCAGTCAACCCAAGAGGCTCCCAGGACGGCCCCACGACGGCCCGAGAGGCCTCCCCAGAGGGCTCCGGAGGCGCCCATGAAGGCCCCAGGAGGAGGAATTCGAACAGACATATCCAGCCTTCCCCGAAAGTTTGCCCTCGAGACAGCCAGCAGGCCCACAAGACGCGCTCAAGAGGCCCCCGGAAGCCCAAAACGATGCCCCGCGGGGCCCCCAAGAGGGCCCAGGAGGGTTCACAGCATGCCACCAAGAGGGGCCCGAAAGGCCCCCCAAGAGACCGCAAGAAGCCTTCCAATGAGGCGTCTTGTGACTTGTGAGCGACCCAATTTGGTTCCCACAGTGCCCCAAGAAGCTGTCGAGAGATCTCCTCCTCCCCCTCCTCCTCCTCCTCCTCCTCCTCCTCCTCCTCCTCCTCCTCCTCCTCCTCCTCCGCCTCCGCCTCCTCCCCAATCGAGTCCCCTATCCTCCTTCTCGCCCGCCATGGGCACACCAGCGTATCGCAACAGTGGTGCAAGATCGGCCGGCGGAATGAGCGAAGCGATCGAACAACCAACGGCAGACGACACGAACGGCAAAAACATGTGAAGATGCGTGGCGATACTCGAGCCCAACCACCACCAACCATCGACCCTCCTGAATCGACGGCAGGCGCGCGTAGGCCTCGGCTCTTGCCGCGCGGTCGACCAGCTCCGAACCCGCACCCCCGCCGCGCCCGTCGAGCCGCCCGAGTCGTGGACGGGCGAGGGCAGGGCCCTCGGCTCTTCGCCGCCGAGGAGCGCCGCGCAGCGAGCACGAGCGCCTTCCCGCCGCGGCGCGGCCGAGGCAGTCCGCACGCGCTCTCGAGAAGGGGGTCGGGCAGCGACACGGCACAGAAGTGCCATGCTGCACGAGGGGGACTCCCCGTGCATGGCTCGACGTCGCGCGTGCAGGCTGCGCAGCATGACCCGAGATGCCCCTCGATGGTCCCCGCCCAGGACAGCAAAGTACGCACACGCCCGAGGGGCGCCAAGGAGAACAGGGGGGAGGATGGCGGCCGCGGAGGGCGGGAAAGAGGGGGGGACACTCACGGCGCGAAGAGCGAGCACGAGCACGACAGCCAATTGTTCAACGGCGCGAGGACGTCTGTAGAGGCCTCCTGGATGGATCGGGGGCAGGTTGTGTAGGGATGTCGCGCCGCATCGCCGATGCATCGTCGATGCTTCGTCGATGCATCGGCGATGCATCGGCGACGTCGGCAATGCATCGGCGCCATCGGAGTGGAGAAAATCGGTCTCCACATCCAGCCGCATCGCCGATGCCTCGGCGATGCGGCGCGATCCTCCGACCCCATCTACTCGGACCCCATCTGGGAGGCCTACAAGCCTCGTCAAAAAGTAGTGGAAACGCTGTTCAAAATCGAAGCGCGCGATACTGCGGGCACTTGTCAAGAAGCGCGTTCTTCAATGCTGTGAGGGTACTGCCGGATTTCGGACACCCCTGCGCCTGGGCCGAATACCTCACGCCAGGTGGGAGCCTGGCGCTCTCAAAAGCCAGCCCTCCCCCCTCCGCGGGGCCTCAGGGCGTCCAGCAGCGACGCCTCGGACACGACGTCGCCGCGCCCGACGTTGACGATCGGGGGTTGCTAGAGGTGTCCCTAAGGTGGCAGCGCGCACGCTGGCGCGGCGCACAGGGATCCATGGGTCTGAGCGCGGGGCAAAAAAAAAGGAGGAGGAGGCGGAGGAGGTGGAGGAGGGGGCGGAGGAGGAGGAGGAGGAGGGGGAGGGCGAGGAAGGGGAGGAGGGGGGGAGGGGGAGGAGGCGGAGGAGGAGGAGGACGAGGGGGAGGAGGGCGAGGAGGGGGAGAAGGAGGGGGAGGAGGAGGAGGAGGAGGAGGAGAGGAGGAGGAGGAGGAGGAGGAGAGAGGAGGAGGGAGGAGGAGGAGGAGAGGAGGAGGAGGAGGAGGGAGAGCGAGGAGGGGGAGAAGGGGGAGGAGGAGGAGGAGGGGGAGGGGGCCCCAGGGTGCCCCCGGCCCGTCGATCAAGCCGGAGGCCCCTGGAGCCCCCGGGGGGCCTCGTGATGGGGTGCTCCGGAGGCCGCGGGGGCCTCCCTGGCAATCTCCTGGGGCAGGGCTGGGCCTCAGCGTTGTGCTTCGTGTTCTGTGCTCGTTTCCTCACGCAGCACACGAGGATGGTGTACTTGGCGCGCCGATGACGGCAACACCGATCCACTCTCCCTCTGGGACTTCGCCCCCTGCTCCTGTCCACGGCGTACCTTGTCCTGTGCAAGATCTTCGGCACCGCCTGTACTCTGCACCCTCCGGCCGCCTGAGGCCCCACCCGCCCGCGCCCTGTCTCCCCAATTAGGGCTTCGCGCGCCCCGCCTTGCTCTTAACCGGAAGGGGCCCGCTCCCGACCCGCCGACCAAAAAAGTCAGGTGCTCGTCTTTTGCCTGTCGTTTTGCTCTATCTTCGGGTCGGGCGCAAGTGGGGGATAGCAAAGGGGGGGTTTGAGAATCGGCTCACGTAGCTGATTTTCCCGGCGCCTCCCGGCGCCGGGAGGCGCCCATGTATCGAGGAATGGGCCCGGCGGCGGGGCCGAAACCAGCTGCATGCAGCAGATTTCGGAACCCCCCCTTTCCCTATCCCCCCCCTAACGTTCGGCCCGATACCTGTTTTCCTGTGCCTCCCTCCCAGAACGAACATCAGAGCACAGCCGAGGTCCAGCAGAACGGCGTCTAGGCCCAGCCCTGTCCTGGGGGCGCCCTGGGCCAGGGGGTACCTCTGGCAACACCCGAGATGAAGAGCTTGCCCTCCCCGCACGCCTCCAGCGCGCCCCCGTCCAGGAGGCCCCTCGGCGAGAGGAGGAGGCGCCCGGACGCCCGACGACGACTCGCCAACGCTCGGGCGCCCATGCCCGGCGCATCTGTCGGCCTCGTACGTGGCCGGAGATCCAACGCATTGAGAAAATCAAGACGGAGGCTCTTCGCAGCTTTCCGCCTCCCGGGGTCATCGCCAAGCCCCAGGACAGTCAACATGATCGACCCACGAACCCGGAAAGGAATATAGAAATGTAACGCATGGCAACGTTTTCAAAGACACCTGATTGGGTGACGGGCAAATGCAATGCTGAGTGTATCGATCTTGATGTACCCTGCCGAGGGCTGTGCTGTGCTGCACCGTGCTGAATTGCGATGTGCCATGCCGCGATTGTGCTCTATAGCGTTGTGGATCGAGTCCTCCTTTGCATCCGAGTCCTGACCGAACTGATCTGGATCTTAAGCTCGAGCTGCCTGAACACATAGTAGCTGCCCCAGAGCTAATTGACAGGGGGGCATGCCAGGAGGACGCGCCGCGGAACGTCAAGGGACGCGCCAGGCGACGTGCCAGGGGACGTGCCATGGGGTCGCACCGCGGGACGTGCCGAGGGGACGCGCTGTGGAGCGTGCCAATGGATGTGACACGGGATGTGCCAGGGGACGCGCCACGCGACGTGCCAGGGGGACTCGCCAAGGGACGCCCCACGGAACGTGCCAAGGAACGTGCCAAATTGCAGTGCTGAGTATATCGATCTTGATGTACCGTGCCGAAGTCTGTGCTGTGCAGCACTGTGCTGAATTGCGATGTGCCATGCCGCGGTTGTGTTCTATAGCGTTGTGGATCGAGTCCTCCTTTGCATCCGAGTCCTGACCGAACTGATCTGGATCTTAAGCTCGAGCTGCCTGGGTGCATAGTTGCTGCCCCAGAGCTGAAAGGGCTCCCAATTTCGCGCTTCGCGCTGCGCAAAGCGCGAAGTGCGAATAATTTCGCGCTCTCGCGCCGCCTCCCAGGGGAGAAGAGGAGGATGAGGAGGAATCGGAGCCGAACCGCGAAGCGCGAACAACTTCGCGCCCTCGAAGGCGCCCTTGAAGCTAATTGACAGGGGGACATGCCACAGGAAGGCGCGCCGCGGAACGTCTCAAGGGACGCGCCAAGCGACGTGCCAGGGGACGTGCCATGGGGACGCACCGCGGGACGTGCCAAGGGGACGCGCTACGGAACGTGCTGGGGACAAGCGTTTCGCTCGAGACATCCTGTCAAAATCCTCATGCTAGACATCCGCCTGAGCGACCTGGACAAGTGAAAACAAGCGTTTCGCTCAACACATCCTCAACACATTCTCATGCTAGACATCCGCCTGGGCGAACTGGACACGTGAAAACAAGTGAAGTGGTTCGCTCGAGACATCCTCAACAAATCTTCATGTGAGACGTCCGCCTGGGTGACCTGGGCACGTGAAAACCAGCGTTTCGCTCGAGACGTTTTCAACACCTCCTCATTCTAGACATCCGCCTGGGCGACCTGCACACTTGAAAGCAAACGTCTCGCTCGAGACATCCTCAACACATCTTCATGTTCGACATCCGCCTGGGCGACCTGGACACGTGAAAACAAGAGTATCGCTCGAGACATTCTCAACACATCCTCATGCTAGGCATCCGCCTGGGCAACCTGGACACGTGCAAACAAGCATCTCGATCGAGACTTCCTCAACACATCCTCATGCTAGACATCCGCCCGGGCGACGAGGACGCGTGAAACCAAGCGTCTCGCTCGAGACTTCCTCAATAAGTCCTGGCGCTAGACCTCTGCCTGGGCAACCTGGAGGCGTGAAACCAAGCGTCTCGCTCGAGACATCTTCAAGACCTGGGCACGTGAAAACATGCATTTCACTTGAGAGATCCTCTGAATTCTGGTCCCCAGGAGAGGACAATCTATAACACAAAACAAGCGTTTCGCTCAAGACATCCTCAACCAATTCTGAAGAACAAGCGTTTCGCTAGAGACATCCTCAAATTTGAATTCGCCGGCCCACCTCGACCTCGATATTATCGCACAAGAAATTCGCCGGCCCAGCTCAAGTCAAGCCCGGGGGGAAACAAACTCAAAGAGAACCCTGGGCTGAAGCCCTTTCCGGGAAAAAGAGAGAACCCTGGGCTCAAGCCCTTCCCGGGGGAAAAAAAACGACTCCGGCTGAAGAGCCACTCCCCGGGAAAATGGGTCGAGACTTCCGGGGACCCCGTATTGAAACAAATCGCGTACGACATCGGATTTACAGGGCAGTTGCTAATACATAGGATTTTAAAACATATAAGGTTTTAAAACATGACGAATTCATGAATTATGCATGAACTCATTGTTGCTTTGAATACTAAATCCCTGCATTTTTGATACATGATCCGCACTTGGAGCGTGTATAAAAAACGGTACTGTATTGAAACCAATCACGCACGACATCGGATCTGTAGGTATAGTTCCCCGCAGGATCGCCCAAAAGGCTACTCGATGGTCCTCGCCAAAAAAAAGCGCACACGCCTGAGCGATGACAAGACGAGCTGAGCAATTCGATCGTGGCGTTTCTCCTTGATCTCGGCCCCTGGGGCCCGTTTTCGGGCCCCTGGGGCTTGAATTAAGTCGGGCCTGTCCCCCCTACAGAGGGATTTTCGAAGAAAAATGAAAAACACCGTAAACATGCATAACAAATAATCCAAACATAGTACGACAATTATTTGTTTAGAATTATTAACCTTTTGGGAATATGTTTGGAATATTTTTGATTTCTCGTCGAACATCCCCCTGTAGGGGGACAGGCCCGACTTAAGGCTAGAAAGTATTGATCTGAGGCGCAGAGCGGACCCTGTGGAAGCGCTGTGACCCCTGGGGCCGCGGCCGGAACAAAACACACAGGGGGAGCCAGGGGATGAAGAGGAGGAGGACGATGAAAAACCTGAAGTTTCCAGGCGTCGGATGTTTTCTCACTCATGGCGTTTTCGACTTGTTGAGGGCGCAGGGACTCTGTGGATCGGGCGCGAATAACGATGCAAATGTATGAGATATACATCGCCGCTCCGAAAGTTCCTTGGATTTTCTGAATTGGGCCCGATGGCATTGTGTGCTCACGTACTTCGCGGCCCTCTTGGCAACGGCCCCCGATGGGGTTGAGGGGCAGGATGCGTTGAACCCCCCCGCCCCCCCTTGAAGCCTAGCAAGACAGCCCTCTTGCGTGGTCTCGGCGGGATCCTTGGCGAGTAGTTCCCTCTTTTAATAACATAGCTTAGTCCGGCCAACCATAAATCCCACCCATACAACATGGGGTCCGGATAAATCCCGCGGTGGGACCCAACCCCGCCAATGTATGACGTGTTCGGGCCATCTTGAAATCATCTCGATTCATCCCCAGGTCATCTTAAGATCATGGTGTTGAAATCTCGGAATGCTCCGGCCACCTCGGGGTCGCTCGGGAGCCGCCGCACCTGGTCTCCAGGGCATCGCTCACATCTTGGGCCATCTTGGATTCGCCCCCAGGCCATTTCGACGCTGCGTCTGGATCCTGCAGGGGCCACGGGGTCTTCTTGGGGTCGGCCCGAGGTCAACTTCGTGCCCGTCTGAGGCCGTCGTGGAACCATCTTGGGGCCATGGGGCCGCCTAGGCATCCTGTCTGGGTCGTCTGGAGGTCTTCCGCCTTTCCAAAGAAATTTTCGCTACGCCTAAGTAGGGCTGTTCGTCGTGATGCTTCACGCTCTTTCATAGGCAGAACAGGACGACGAGCAGGCGGTGGCGGAGAATCCTGCAGAGACGGGGGCTCGGGTAGACGAACAAGGACGCCGACGGGGAAGCGTTGGATACAGAGGAAGAGGAGGAGTGGGAGGGCGGGGAGGGCGGGGCAGGCGGGGAACGCTGCCCGCCGTTGTGGGGGCCGGGGCCTGGCGTCCTGTTGCCCTGGGGACTTCGGGAGAGGGCCTCGCGCGCGAGCAGCAGCAGGAGGGCAGCGCAGCGCCTCGGGAGGACCGCCGCCGCTCTCTCCCCACGAGCTCTTCGCCAGGGGGCCGCATGCCGCGCGAGAGCTCGAGCAACGGAGAGCAGGTGCGGATCGTCGCAGCTCTCTCGGGTGGGCTCCCTGTGCCGACGAGCTGAGGGAAATTGTTCGCGCTGCTTGTGTCTTCTTCCTGGTTACCATGCAGTGCACACCTGTGAGAGCGCGGGGCCAGAGAGCGAGGAGAGGGAGGAGGAGGGCCGGTGCAAACCCAAGAAGTACCGACGAAGTTGCAGCAAACTATCCCTCCGAGTTCCCTCTTCACAGGCCCCTGCAATCATGTACTTTCACTGCGGGAAGTACCTCGTTGGAAGACAATCGTCTGAGAATCCCCAATCGTGCCGAAACACATCTTTGGGGGGCTTCAACGCCTCGAATCAACTTAGCCGTTGCGTCCTGGCGATCCGGATACGTGCCACACCATTCCTGGGACGTCGACCACGGGAATCAGCATGACTCCTTCGTCCCGAGAGTCCTAGATCGTGCCCAGAACGCCACTCCTGGGACGTTCGCCGCGAGAGCCATTGAAACGGCTCCAAACGTTTACAACGAATGCGCGCGAGGCGCCAAGGCGAGAACAACAATTTTTGAAACGAGTGGGCCTCCATCCGTGGAGACCCTGCATATCTGCCAAGACCAAAAACGTGCGCAGTGCCGAGGCGAGAGGCACACTTTGAGGAGGGACCGCCGTCCACCCTTTCTGAAGCTCGGGCAAACGTGGAAGGCGAATGCGCGCGGCGCTGAGGCGAGAGCCACAGCTTGGAAACCACCCGCCCTCCAGCCGTGAGGCTCTTGCACATGTCGAGCTGCAGGATCAGCAGTGGTGCGTGAGCCTGAGGCGACACTCCTGGCCCGCCCTGGCGACACGTCACGTGGTGCGACAGGGAGGAATTGTCCATCAGAAAGAAAAGAGATGGAGTAGGAGGACGACGACGACAACGGCGACCACGTAGAGGCAGGGGCGGTGTCTTCCCAGGGAACTCCGAAAGCCATCGCAGACGTTCGGGGGCTTCCGACTCGAAAGTCTTATGGTATCCACCGTCTTCTCTCCCTCCTTCCTGGGCCCGCCTTCTCTTCCTCTTCCTCCTCCTCCCCCTTCTCCTTCTACGTCCCTCCCTCCTTTCTCCTCTATGTTCTCTTAGCCGTTCGAGGAAGAACACCCGCCGCAGAATTTTTTCACCCCAACATGATTCAAACGAAGTAGAAACATGTTAGCGCCTCGGCCTGTTCAGCGACACGGGTGGCACTACATATGAGGAATAAAACGCGTCTCAAATGCAACCTTCTTGTTGCACCATGCCGAGCACTCCATGCCCCTGGACCCCTGCTCAAAGCAGGGAACAGCAGCACACGGGTGGCACTACAGATGAGGAATAATTTGCGACTCAAATTCAACCTCCTTGTTGCATTTGTCTGAGGGGGGTGAGGCAGAGGAGGAGGAGGAGGAGGAGGAGATGAGGAGGAGGAGGAGAGGGAATAGAAAACACAGGCGAAAGATACGAATTAGCCCAGGAACGTATCATCCCCTGGTCTGCCGAGCTGTTGTTCGACAGACCCGTATTGAGCGGCCTCGGCGGCCAAGCAATACATTCGCCACGGCAGGGGAAAGGAGGGAGGGGGAACGAGACAGGAGGAAAATATTAACTAGGGAGCCTGGAAACGGCAATCCCGAGCGACGTGGGAGCGGCCACAACGCGAAGCCTAAAGGCAGTGAAAGCATGACAGAAACCAAGCAAAAACCTCAGGAGGGAGAGGAGAGACTGAAGAGCACGACAAGCCTAGGCGACTGGCCGCCGCCGGCGAGACCTAGCCAGCAGCCCGCGGAGAGGCTCTTGGGAGCAAGCCTCGCGCACGGCGGCCTGAAAAAAATGCCCCGCGTCGATCTGCGAGACGGCGTTGTGCCGTAACGCAGGGTGCGCCCGGTACAGAGCGCAGATGCAGACCGCTCTCATGAGACGCAGCTCGTCACTGGCACGTGCCCGGCTCTCGGCCTCGAGCCCCGACGAACCGTGCAGGCCGAGAAAGCTCGGCAGGCGCTCCTCGGCGGGAGGCCGCGCCAGGGCACACGTCCGCTCACACCAGCGATGGTACAACCCACAATTAGCATAATGCCGTATACACTCGAATCCACGAGGACATCCAAAGGCACAATGCGATCGTGGCTGAAAACGCGCCGTCGTGAGCCAGCCATTGAAAGCTGTGCGCAACGCCGCGGCCATCACGCACGGCGGGGCGCTCTGGCCAAGGAGAGCTAAGTGAGCGCGAAATCGTGGCACTCGGCGGCCTGGCGCAAGCTCCAATTGCCAGTGGTCTAGACGCCTACGAAGGAATACAGCGACCTGGGTAGGCGAGCGCGCTGACAGTAGCGATTGGCACCGGCTGGCTTGCCAACCCGCTTTGATGACATGCAAGTCCTCCCTCGGCACGCTTATCGTGCGCCTCAGTCCGACCTGCCGCTCCGCTCGTTCCACGCGATCCGCAAAAGCCTGCAATACGAACAGAGTGTTGCCCGACAGCCACGTCTCAACAGCCGCGGAGTAGAACCGCCGCTCGGCTCCCTGGAGGCGATCGCGGAGACGGCGCGCCCGCGCGTGCACCTGCAGCCCACCTTGACGCAGCGCCTCGAAATGACAAACACGAGCCTGAGCCGCCACCGTCGCGCATCGGATGTCCATCAACTCGCAGGGAAAGCCCAAGCTGCGGAGCTGCTTCATAAGCTCTGGAATCGTCCAAACATGCGGGCCGGGAAAAAGCTTCGTGCACGCTCGCCGCTCCACAGCGTCAAACCCCGCGGGTAGAGGCCGAAGTTGAGCAACGAACATGACCACCGACGCCACGAACACGCGATAGGCCGCGCAAGTGTGAAAGAGGCCAGAGCCAATCTTTCCCCAGGCCGCCGCCCTCTCTAGCATCCTGTCTAAGGGCGCCTTCCACGACTCCTCCATAGCACCAGGGCCCAGGATGAAGCCCAGGTACTTCGCCTTGTCCCGGATAGCCATTGCCCCCCACGCCGCCGCACGCCTGGAGATCTGAGCCCGGAGGCTCAGCTCGTCGTAGCCGAACAGTGGGACAATGACGCACTTCTGGAAGTTGAGCTTCAAGCCGGAAATGCTCGCGTACTCCTTGAAGATGCGGTGCAGCGTCGGCAGCTCTTCCAAAGCTCGGGCAGCAAGAATGACCAGGTCGTCCGCGCACGCCCTCTCAAGCGCTGCAGGAACAGGACGACGGATACGGCAGAGGAGCAAATCCGAAGCGACGGCGAAAAGCAGAGGGGATAGAGGGCACCCCTGGCGGACCCCGCGCGTGAGGCCGAACCCACAGCATCTCACACCCTTCAAGACTATGTCGCAGTAGTTGCCCTGGTAGAGGGCGCCGGCAAAGCGGAGGAGCCACTGGGGCCAACCAAAATGTCGGAGTAGCTGGAGGAGGAAACCGTGCTCAATAGACGGGAACGCGGCCTCAAAATCAAAGAAGATGGCCATCGAACCGTCGTTGTCCACGTAGTGCTCCGCTAAGCCCTCCTCAACGTCCACCAAGTTGGAGAGCATGGACCTTCCGGGGAGGGATCCCCGCTGTGAAGGGGAGATCCTTGCTGCCACCGCGTCCTCCACCACCATGCGCACCGCGTTGGCCAGGAGCCTATTGTCCGTGTTGGTGACGTTCAGCGGCCTGACCTTGTCCACGGCGTGGCACGCCTCGCCCTGGCCTGAAGTCTCCGGAGGGCCTTTCGGGATGAAGAACAAGAGGCTGTGATTAAAGTCCTCGGCGAACTCATGGAGACGTCGCGCGCCGTCCTCGCTGCAGATGTCCCCGAAGACTTCATGCAATACCTCCACGGCAAGCGCCTCGATCCGCCGCCAAGCCAAGAAAGGGAGTCCGTCCGGGCCCGGCGAAGAGCAAGAAGACCCACGGATGGCATCTTTGATATGATGTTTTCGTAGCCGGAAGCTCCGCGGCGGGAACGGCCTCAAGTGGGCAAGAGGGCGGTGCTCAGAATCTTGATCCAGCCAATCTTCATCGACACCGCGTCGCTGAAACACCTTCGACCAATGCGTTCGCAGCGCCCCAGCCATCTCCTCCGGAGTCGTCTTGGCTTCGCCGCGCTGGTCGAGGACGCAATATAACGTCGAGGCGCGCCCTGGCCGCAGCCGAAAGATGAGCCTGTTGTTCTTGGCCCGCGCCTTGGATGCCTGGAACGCGTCCGTCCCAGTAAGATCGGCATGAGATTTGCCGAGCTCGTCCAATGCGTGATCGCGCGCCAACTCCAAGGCGTGGTCCCGCGCGCGCTGGAGCTTAACCGAGACGTTGCCCTCAAGCGCGTAAGGATTGTCGACCAACTCCCGGAGCTGAGGATAGCGGAGGAGGCAGGAAGACACATCGCCCGCAAAGCCCCGTTCGAAGGCCCGAAGAAAGCGGAGAACGACACCGAGGCGGTCCTCCAACGTCACCGCATCAGGCACGCCTCCCCACTCCCCCTCCAGGTTGAGCCCCACCTGCCGCATGGCCCCCTTCAAGTGCCGTAGCTTCTGGACGCCCCAGTCGCCAGGGTGATCGCGCAAGCGTTGGTGGTACTCCAAGTGCACCCGCCGCTCGTAGTCCTCGTGGCGGATTGCGCGGTCTGGAATGGGCCTCAGTTGCAGCGGGAGCCGCTGCGGGGATCGCCTGGAGAAGAGCACTGCCCGGTGCGCTGAAAGATCCGCGCGCCAAGGGAGAGCGCAGCACGTCATGTGCCGGTCAAGCTGCTCAGCCGTGTGCTGGTTCAAGTAGATCCTGTCGAGGCGCGAGCGTGCGTGTGCCGAGGCGTGCGTGAACGCACTCTGAAACATTTCTGTCAAATGGAACGGAAGACCGATGTGCGACTGGAAGTGCCGTTCTTCACCTTGATCTCTCCCACCCGTCTCCCGCAGAGAAGTCAATGTCAATGCCTGTCTACCGCCCTGCTCCGCCACATAGTTGAAATCCCCCCCCCAAGACGGTCATGGTGTTCCTGGACGGGGGGAAGCGATTGGCAAGTCGCGCCCGGAGGCACGCGCGCAGGCCAGCGAAGCTCGAGCAGCGCTCCCCTCCTCCTGAGGCCCAACGTCGTACAGGTCCATATCCGTGATCTGCACCCCCGTGTGATCACGGATATGGACCTGTAACACCCGCCGCAGAAACATACCATCTCGGAGGTTCATGGCTTCGACATCTGTGCTTCTTCGAGCAATGCAGTGCGAGTGATGCGCCACTCCTCCTCCCCCCCCTTCTGTTTCCCCCGCGCCCCGCAGGTGGCTCCTCGTCTGCGGAGTCGACGGCAGCACCCCG